CATATGGATTTATGTTAGTGTAAGGGCTAAAGCAGAGATACCACATTATTTTTTTCAGGTGGCTATACAATTGTCTCAATACCACTTGTATAATTCCTTTCCCTACTGATAGACAATGTCATCTTTATCATACACTAACATTTTAAATGTCCTGGGTCTATTTCTGGACTCTTGTTCTCCTGAACAAGTTGCCTATGCATGCACCAGTGTCCCCTGAATTTTACTATTTTAATTATTGTAGCTTTTAATAGTTTAATATCTGGTAGAGCTATTCTCCTCTCATTAACTTTTTCCCCCAGAATGTTCATGGCTATTCCTGATGCAAAAACTTCCACATGAACATTATATTCAGGTTATGTAGTGTTAGTATTTTTATTAGATTGTGTTAAATTTATAGATTAATTTATGGAGAGCTGACATCTTTATTACAGCAAGTCTTTCTACCCCAAAATAGAGTATTCCTTTCCATTTATTCAAGCCTCCTTTTGTGTCCTATGATATACAGCATTTTAGTTTTAGGTACCTAGATCTAGCATATTTATTAAGATTATCCTTAGTTTACTTTGTTGCTGTTATCATAAATGATAATTTTATTCCTCTGTACTTTCTAATTGGCTGTTGTTCATTGGCTTTTTGTATATTAATTTGTGTCCACTCTGCTGAAGTCTTATTTATATTATTTTTTCAGTTGATGTCCTTGGATTTTTCAGGTTGGCTCTCATATCACAAATAATACTTCTTTTCCAGCTTTTATATCCCATTCTTTCTTCTGTAATTAAGTAAGCGAGTACTTCCAAAGCAATGTGAAATAAAAATAGTCACAGGGGTCATCCTTGTGGAATACCTAACTTTAATGGGAATAGTTTAGGTTTCCTCATTAAGTGTGATTCTGGCTTTTGGGCCGAGATATGTAAATTTATTCTTTTGAATCCTCACCCAAGGATATGTCTTTTTATTCATTTGAGAGAGGAAGGGAGAGAGAAACATCAATTGGCTGTCTCCCATATGGGCCCCCAACCAGTGATCAAACCCACAACCTAGGCATGTGCCCTGACTAGGAATTGAACCTGCAACCTTTTGGTGTACAGGACAATGCTCCAACCAACCAAGCCACACAGCCAGGGCGAGATGTGTGAATTTTATCATGTTAATGAAGTTGAATATTTCATAAAGTCTGTGATTCTCTAACCTAGGGATTGATATTTCAGAGGGTTTCAGTCTGTGTATGAGACTCTCCCTTTGCAGATGGTTTCTCCTTCTGTAGAGAAAAAAAGCGTACAGATGTCAAGTAGAGTATTATGTTGATTTAAATTGCATTGTGAGCACAAAGATAACTTTGCACTGGTCAACAGTTTTATTAAACATGACTTCCTATAGTTGAGCCAACTGCAGATAGATTGTGTGTCCTCTGCCTGGGTGCCCAGAAGATAAGAAGGGACCTGGTCCTACTCTAGTGGACAGGAGGGGGGAAAGGCCTAGACTCAAAGTCCGGGTCCTTAACTCTGACCACCTTGCAGATGTTGAGGCCCAAGCCTAAGAACAGTACCAACAGCTAATAGTTTTTGAAAACGTGCTATATACTACCCACTTGTGTAGGTAATTTACTCCTCAGAGCCATCCTATCAAGTGAATACTATTATTTCTCCACAGATGATGAAACTGAGGCAAAAAAAGGTAACTTACTCAAGGTCACAAGCTGCTAGGTGATAGTGCTGAGGTTTAAAATCAGGCAGTTTGACTCCAGAGCCAGTCTTCTTAACCACGTTCTAATCCTTCAGAAGGAAGAGCCTGAGGCCCTGAGCAGATGGGCAAAGATCTGGAAGAAACCATGAATGGGCCTTCATTGCAAGCCACATCTATCTCAGGCAAATCGTGCCAGACTACGAAAGACTACTCTGGAACCAGGGCCGGTTAACTGGAAGCTGGATGACTGGTCCCTTGCTAGCTTTTCTTTTTATCCACACTCTTCTTTCTTTTTGTTCCTTTGCTGGCTCCTCCTCTACCTTACCTTAAACATTAGAATGTCCCAGGCACTGGTCATGGACCTTCATTATTCTCTATTTATACTTTCTCTCTAGACACTAGCATCCAGAATTTCATGATAATTTCCTAACGTGTATCTGCAGTCCAGGCCTCTTCCCCGACAGGACTAGGGTGTCCACCTCTCTATACAACACCTCCACTGAGATGCCTCAAAGGCATCTCAGACTTAACATGTCTAAACAGAACTCTTTGTTTATGCCCCACACAAACATGCTTCTCCCATAGACTTGTTTTCAGTAAGTTTGTTAACATACTTACTCAACAAATATTTAAAGCCTTGGCTGGGTAGCTCAGTTGGTTAGAGTGTTGTCTCAATGTCTCTCTCTCTCTCTCTCTCTC